GTAGTGGTCTCTCTTAGTCAGCCGAACCAAGGGGACCCCAAGGCATAATCTAGACCCACTCCCAATAAGTCTCCCACATTAGGTACAAAGGAGAACTGTATTGGTTACAGAGGGTATGGTTAGAATAGGGTACAGGGTAGAGCAATATCAGAGAAATTATTGAAATCTGATCTGGGGGGGAGGAAGCCCCCCACCCAGGTATGTGATGCCAGTCACGTAGGCAGAGGGAGCAGGTTTCCCCCCTCCATCAGGAATGTATCCAACTCAGGTTACCTAAAGAGATGGGATGGGGTAAAGGTGTGTCCCCTCTGCTGGGCCCATCCTAATCAAATTGTCACAGAGCAGAGATTTTGGGGAGAAACAAAGGTGGCTTTCTGCCACGTGCTCAAACAGGAGCATTCCCAGTACATATGAAATGGAGGCAGCGTCAGGGCTTTCTGCGGGAGACATCCTCTGGTTTGGATCTTGGTCCATTTTTTCCGCCAGACCTTGCTTTTTTGCCTGTCTGGGCATACTGCAACACCCATCCTTTCTCTTTCCTGATTCTGCTCTGCTTAGTCTCTGTCTGTTGTGATATTTTTGTTTGTGGGTTTAGGCTCCCAGAGCGCTACCTTGGGCTGTATCTTAAAAAGGAGAAGTATTAGTAATACTTAATGAAGTTACTTTTGCAGCAACCTGTAGTAGTAGGCAAGCAAATGTAGCGTTACCCTGGTTTTCACACGCTGGCATCTGAAGCACAACAGCGTGTGTTGACTTGTCACGTTCTTATGAGAAAACTATGGCAGAGCTAATAATACAAAGCCACATCTTCCGCGGCCCTGAAGTCGCAGCTGCGTTTCTTGGGGCGGTCTTTCTCTGCACCGCTGGGCATGTAGGCACGGCATCACCTCTTCCTCTTCGAGCTTGCAAGTCACGTTTGTGGCATGGTGTCAGGGTGGTCAAAATGTCTTGTTGTTATGGCTCCAGAGACGTAAGTGTAAATTTGCTCCAGGGTCGCATTGAAAGCTGGGTGTCTGGAGTCATTCAGGCCCAGAGAGTCGAGGGCAGCCGGACCTGATGCTAGCCACATCACTCCCTTGTGTGCAGGTGGATGTGGCGACCGCTCGCCTTTAACCACGCTACTCATGGAGCCTGTTTTGACTCGGGTAGGCCTTTTGCTTTGCCTTGATACAGTATGTTGGGGGTTGTTAGAAGGGCAGTGTTGAAGAAAACATGCACCTAGTGATGCAACCTTTTTATACTTTCGTGGCTTCAATAACCACCAAAATCCATAATCGCTCCTTTTTTTTTTTATTTAAAAATAATGTTTGGACATGCCTTTCTCTAGGATATCCATCCAAAAATCAGGCTGAGGATAGCTTTGAGCTCAGCCTTCTGGTTGATATTGATGCGAGCAACGCTGGAATGGCGGCGTTCAACCATTGTTGAGCAGGAAGTCAAAAGTCCTTGTTGTAGATGGATGGGATGTTGCAAACTTTCCAGTCGCTCATAAATCTTGCCCTATGTGCATGTGATTAATGTGTAACGAGGTTTTTGATTGATGGCTTAGCAACTACTAATCAAATGATACAGGACCTAATCCTGCAGTCCCTGAGTTCATTGTCAGGGAGAACTCCTATTCTCTTTGATAGGCAGAAAAATGTGTTGTTTTTTTTTTTAATAGATTTTTAAAATTCTACAGGACTGGCTTTTAGTAAGTACGTGCACAAGCTCCTGATTTTGAACGTTGAAAAATCGTGTTTATTCAAGCTTCATGTAGGGGCAGAGCCCTTGGCAATGCTGGGGTGAAAGAAGCAGAAACTGGTGAGATGAGTGAGGGCAGGCAGAAAAAGTAAGCACTGAGTAGTGCGATGGGGAGCGGGTCCTGCAATATGTTGTTAAGCCAAATCGGCAATTAAAATGCCTGGATGCAATGAAGGAGACTAAGTGGGCTGAATTCTAGCTTGTTGCTGTGATGGGAGACGCTTTGGATGGGCTCAGTGTGATGATGCTTTTCTGTAAAAAGTTTTAATAAATAGGATTACTTATGTGCCCTTTTCACTCCAGGGGCTGATAGCGGTCTAGACTGCTCTCCGATTGCTTCCCTATGATTTTGTTTCTTTTTATCCGGTGAGTATTTTCCCCAGGTTAATACTATAGTTTTGTAAAAATGTTGTTGGAAGCGTGGCTGTTTGTGTCCCGAGGGGAAAGGGGAGAGCTGGGGAGAAAGAGTAGTCCCGGGGGGATCAGAGTGGAGGCCGAATGAGGACCGGGGGAACTGCAGTGCCCAAAACAAGACTTGGGAGCTGAGCAGACTGCTGTGCCGTTCTGGATGTCAGCACTTTGATTCCCATCCCCTGGAGAAGAAAGCACCAGCCTTCCTGGGATCTGACCGAGAGGAGGAGGTCTCTGTAGTGGGGGTGCGACGGATCATCAGGAAAGGCAAGGGCAAAGGGGAGCTAGGGTCTCAAGCCAGAGACTGGTCCCTTGTGAAGCCATGCCAGAGCTGGCCTCAATGGCCACATCCAGATGAGTGTGGTCGTGCAGTATGTGGCCCCACAGACCCATCTGTGGCTCCGCGTGCTGCACGTTCAAGTGTTTCCTGTGCTGCTACCTTGCAGTGCGCACGGGGTTTATTGACCCCTGGAGATCCTATGGATTCTTATTTGAAATCGCTGGGTTTATCTTATGAATCCTGCAAGTGTTGACTTACCCACCAGTGCTAATGCGTGCCTTATCACCCTGGTTACAGGTATAACTCGTTCACTTTCTAAATTCACGTTAGTGTAACAGTGATGTAGCCATGATGGTCCAGAAATCGTTGGGAGGAAGGTTAAAGAAACTCGTCAGTGCGTGACCTGATGAAGAACATCTTGCATTCGAAAGCTTGTCTGACTTCATCCCAACTGCATAGTTGGTCCAATAAAAGGAATCCTTGCCTCTTGCATCAATTTACATTGCAAGACCAAACCTTTTCCTCCGTTAAGTAAATCACAAAGTTATATATAACACCCTTTTTCTTACTGCCATTGGGTGCGGTGATATCATCAGCACGAAACAGCACTCTTTGTGGAGCGAGTAAAATTGCTAAGTGATTTCCTCCCCTCCCCTCACCCTTTCCTGTTCTGGAAAAGTTTTTTTAAAATGGTATTTTTATGGTGATTTTGGAGGTTAATTCAAGTAAGCAAGGCAAAGAGCCAGCTAGAGAATACAGAGCACGACTGCTAAATTACTGTTAGAAAAATTAGTGCAGTGATTGTTTTTATACTGCAACAATAATGTATGTATTTAAAAGCTTTCTCTCAGGTGAAGTTTTAATTGAGCGATGTTAGGAATTTAAATCAAGTTATCTTTATTTAATTATGCTGTGTCTTTTTAGAGCAATGCTCGATTTGTTTCCGATTAGTGGCATGGTATCATTTGCCTAGATATTATTTCTTTGTAATTTGTTTAAATACAGGCAGCGCACTAGTCGTGTATTCTTCTCCATTAAACTCCACACTCTTTGGTTGGATATAGTGTGTTCAAAATAGTGTGAAATGCATTACCAGTGGCCTGAAATGCCTAAAGTTTTCTGAATGCATGCACCCAAGTTTCTGTACGTAATGAGAAAAGCAAGCTGTATTGGAGGTGTGAAGAAAGAGGAGGGGGAAGCAAAGGATGAATGAGCAGGGATTTATTCCCGTTCCTAATTGTTAACTGCCGACCCAGTCCGTATTACCTGATAACTCCGTCTGCTCCCTGCTTCGTTCAGTGAAGGGAACGGGGATTTTTGCAATGCAGTTTTTCCTTTAGACCGACTTGTAGTGAAGTGGGCTGGAGGAGGTGTTGACTAGGAGAAGAGAATTCACTCTGACACCTGATTTTTTTATTTTTTTTATTTCGTTTTTTAGACAAAGCAAAAATCCGATTTTTACTGGTTAAAAGAAGGGCATTTGGTCTGGCAGTCATTTAGAGGTGATTTATGAAATCTTGGCAAGCAATTTTATTTTACAGCATAGGACCCTCTGCATGCAACACATTCATTTTGACTGGACCGGGAATACACCAACTGCTTTCGTCTCAATTCTTAATTTTACACAGGATCATAGTGCGTGCAGGTAGAAATCATTAGTTGGATTTCAGATTTGTGTTCTGAGTAACACTTTCCACTTCATCTCAGCTCTTTCTTGCTGACATGTTTCAACCTGGGGCTTAGGTGCAGAGTGATTTGACTTAGTGAATATTTGACCAGGTAGCTCAGACTTAAATAGCAAGATGTGGCAGATCCCTTTTCTCTTGGGGATCTCCGGGCTCTACCAGGTTACAGAGAGTAATCTCTCAGGAGGCCGGAGCTAAACCTGTTGCATTCAGGAAGCCTCATGGATGTTCTCTCCCGCCTGGACCAGTCTAGCCTTTCCTGTCATTTGAGGAGGAGTCAAATCCTCAGTCACCCATCAGTTGCACATCTCCATCAGGTGCAAATTCCACTCTTAAAGTCGTGAGGTTGGGTGGCAAAGGCACGGTCATCAGTGTAAACCGATTTTCATTGAGCCGGTCGCAGGCAGGTCATCAATGTACAGCTAGAAAAGGAGAGGCGCCAGTACCGATCCCTGACGGAGGCCATTGGTCTGATGTCTTCAAGTGCTAATCCACTGGGATTAGCAAGGTGGGAAGCCCTTACGTTCTTAAGCGCTGTGACGATGCACACAACCCTGGTAGTAATAATACATCTGTAAGTATTAGCTGCCAGGCTATGGTTGAATTTGAAATGTTGCTGTTAGTGGAATTGAACCTGCCTTGGCAGCTGTGGGGAATTGTAGCAATATTTCTTCATGGCAGAAAGTCAGTAGATCTTGGTTCCTAAGTGCCTCCCCGTTTTGAAAATGGGACTCAAGTCATTTATGCACTTTTGCCAATTTTACTACATGTCGTATTTTCTTCGGACCAGCAGCATGCTTTTAAGCCACTCAGGATTTGCAAGCAAGATCTTCATTGCTGGTCTGTTTCTAATACTGTTTCCGTTTCCTCTCTGCTCCCAGATGCTGCTGACTGAATATTTGGATATGAAGAACACTCGGACTGCCTCGGAGCCATCCGCTCAGCTCAGCTATGCCAGCTCGGGGAGAGAGTTTGCATCATTCTTTGCAAAGAAGAAACCTCAAAGGCCGAAAAACCCTCTGTTCAAGTAAGTTCTGTCCTGTTGGCGGAGCCACACCTGAGATTTGTCTAGAGCCTTGGGCAGCGTGCACTGCCAATACCAATTTCAGACACGTATAGGAGGGTATGTCAGGCTTCAGACAGACATGAACTGCCGTAGCTGGAACTCGTCTGAGCTCTCTTCCAGCCCCTAACCTGTACACTGATTCTTTATTGTTTGCTACAGCCGTTTCCAAAGGCTTTGCTCAGGGATCTCATTATATTGGTGTCTGTATGAAACCATAGTGGGCACCTGCACACATGACGGACCACTGCACTGGCATGTGCTAATTAGCACACGTTGGAGCAGACTTGATTAACTGAGTCTGCTCAAGTCTGCTGGAGCATGCTAATTAGTGCGCATGTATCACACAGAGTCCTTGCGTTTCAGAATGGCAGCAGGGGTGCTTTAACTGAAGCCTGTCGAACGAGCTTTAGTTAAAGCGCCCCTGCTGCCATTTTGAAGCTCAGGGTGCTTCATACATGTGACACTGCAGGTGTTTTAATTAGAGCAACTCTGAGACTTGGTGGCCCTCCCAACCCTGGAACGTGTATGCACTCCCGGGGAGACCCCAGACCTGCCCGGATGAGCTTATAGTCTAAGTTGAGACAGATGCACATTAGGGAGAACGTACAGGAAAGGGGTGGAGAGGGACAGGGAGAACAAGATAAATAACAGTCTCAGTTTCATGCAGACGGAGACTGTTAATCTCTTTTTTTAAGTTTTGGAGAACTATTTTAATTGAAAGTGTAGAGAAGAGCTGAGTGGCTCAGAGAAGAATGTAAGCGCAGGCGTGGGAAGGTGCAGGGAGCTGGGAGGAGGAGTGATTTCACTTGCAGTGAGGTTCGTGAGGACCAAGGAGAGAGGCTGGTAGGTTGAGAAGGCTGGTCCTGTTGTTAAAGTGCTCAGGGAAGCTATGCTGAGTTTCCTGCCCGTCTGCTGATTCGCTAACCTAAACCTTGTGGTGCGGGTAGTAATATTATCTCTATAGACAGTAACTCTAACTTTTTATGATGATTGAATTACGCTTCACAGTGAAGTATCACTGTCATTGGAGCTTTTGGGTGTTACTGTAATATGCTGAAAAAAGTTTTGCATTTGAAAGCTTGCCTAACTCTATCCCAACTATGCAGTTAGTCCAGTAAAAGAAATCCTTGCCTCATTGTAATGCAAGTAAGAAAATTAATGAGGGGAGAAGGAAGGTATTAAGAGCCAGAGTTAACAAATCCAGCAAATATAAGGCTGAGGAAGCTGAAAACCTATGGAAGTGAGAGCATAGACTGTTACTCCTTTGGCCTTGCCAGAGCCGGAGGGTCGGGTTCTCCAAAGCCCAGGGGCCACCTTCACAGACAAGCACCCTGGTTTCCCTTGGCTGTGGCTGGCTCGGCACTGGAAGTAGGGGGACTACAGAAATGCGAGTGGCTTGCATTCATTCTGGTGGCGTGAACCCTTGGGGACAGACCTGCTTTTTGTTACTGCTTCTTCGCCTTGCTGGAGTCGCTGTTTTTATTGAGCAGGGGATGGCAAGTGCACTGGCTTCTGCATAACTCGCTTGGAAATGACTTACAGCTGAAGTTGGCTCCCTGCTTTCTTTTAACTATTAAGAATCAGCTAGCGGTAGCTGCTCTCCTGTTTCTGAGACCACTAGTGCAGATACTTTTTCTTTGCTAGTAGTGCCTCAGAGGTCCATTTGCCAGGCCCAGGGTGCACATAATCGCACCTCGACATACACAGCGAAATGATGATCCCTGGCACATTGCCGGCTAGCCAGAGGGTTCACCTGACATCAGGCTGACTCCGGTGGGCTGCTGATGGTCCTCATTGCCACCGTTTTGCCTCCCCCAAATCCTTCCTACCCCCACAACTCCATACTCCAGGAGGTTGTCCAGCTCCTCTCTGGATGGATGCTCTTCCTAAAACAGCTTGGAGGTGACATGCTTTGGAGCAACATGAGGCTGTTCAGCCTTCCTCCATGGCTTATCACACTAATCCTGCAGCGTTCTCTGCTTCTCTTGGTTGGAGGAAAATATTGTTTCGCACACGGTGCCTGAAGCCTGCGCACACTCATTTCTGTCAGCTAAGAATGAAGTTAGGTATAATTGGTTAAAGTGAAGGTGCCTAACCTAATAAGAACAGCACACCTCCTAGCACTCCTACCCTTGTCACTAAGTCACTGCTAGCACCTTGGTGACAGCAGTGCTTATTGGGATCTCTCATTTGGTTATCTGCCTCCTGTCAGCTGTCACTATATCTATGGAAATCTCTGCGTTGAAATGGAATTTCTTAGTCCGTCAAGGGATGTACATATTTGATAAAGTGTTATTCCTCTCGTCTTTTCCATCTTTAGTGGGGGGGTTTTCTCTCTCCAGACTGCAAGGCTCTCTTTCTTGCATTTTCATCACCTGTTTCCAATTTAGAGAAGCCATCCGCTTGTCATAAGAATATCTGCTTTTAGATTCCTCACTTTGGAAATCAGTTGAACAGAAGATGAAGCCTCACTCTCAGACTGATAGAGATGTTTGATATGTAAGAGGTTGGGATCTCTTCCCGGAAGCTAATCTTGTAGCTGCTGGATAGCATGTCTCAGAAGACGAGCACGGTCTTGCAGTGCAACAGGACGAGTCAGGACTTCACGCTCTTTTCTCTGCTTTGAGACCGACTTCCTGGCACGTGGACAATCTGTGTAATTGTTCTGTGCCTCACTTTCCCCATCTGTGAAGTGGGCCTAGGACTCGTAAGTTTGTAACATAGCATAGCTAATTTAATGGATTTCGAGCTCCTCACGTAAAAGGCCCTCCATATATAGCAATTACTATTGTAGTAGCTCCCAGTGGAGAGCAGACGCATGCCACGTGTTACATGGCCTCCTGTGAAAGAAAGCCAGAACAGGATAAGATGTACAAGCAGCACAATGATAAATACACATTTCACAAGCATTGGAGCATTGAACCTATTAGCTGAAACGTTTTGTTTTATTTCTATTTAACCAAACTGTTTTGAGACTCAACCACAAATAATTGATAGAATAAAAGAGGTGTAGGAGGTGGGAAGGTGTCCCCGAGTAAGAGATGGGAGTGAGGACCTGGAACCTAGTAGAAGGACCAAGAAAAAGGAGAGGGAGGAAATGAGGAGCCCTGTGAGATGAGGCAGATGGTTGTGATTTGGAAACCTGACAACCAGTGCTAATACTGGAAGTGAGAGGGGAAAAATGCAATGTCTGGGTTTCAGAGCTGTGAAGAAGAGGGTGAGGAGAGTCTCTGAAGCCTTCCTACTTAGCTGCTCTTGCTCCCTAGAGAGGAGGTGTCCAAGGTTTAGCATCTTGGGTTTAGCTCCTTGCTCTGATTGGGAAACTGGAAGACTGCTGCTTTCTACCTTTTCCCCAACTGCTACTGCTGACAGCATTGGGGGGGGGAGATCCTCAGCAGTGTGGATCCTTCCACAGACCATTCCCAATGGGTCCATCTTGCCTGCTGCTAGAGCAAGAAAATCCAGACCTGCATATTGTGCTCCTCCCAGTTTTCCAGAGAAGTGTTGTTGGCATTCACTCAGTGTCTTCAGCATTTCTTTGTTAACATCTGAGACGTTGTCCGTGCAGGGCTGGGGTTGTGTGGGTTCCACTAGTTTGCTGGTTCATTTCTGCTTCAAATGCACCTCGCTTCTTAGTGATATTTTAACGGTAACTTTTTTACCTGGTCGAATGGAACAGCTTGACCTTTGTGGCAGTTTCCGCTGCTGACTTGCCAGCCTGGTTCGGCTGGCCAGGGGAGCGATGATGCGGTAGAAAGGATGGGAAAGAGAAAGCACAAGAATTGGCAACCATCCTAGCTTTGCTGCTGAAAGCCGACGCTGTGTTTTTGCCAGCAGAGGTTATATTCCTTGGGGAAGGCTAGAGTAGACTGTGTTGGCAAAAACACAGCGTTGACAGCAGCATTCTCTATCGTGCGCTCTGGTGTAGTACGGTGTACCAGCAGAGTCCTCGTACTATAGCTCTCACCTGAGTCTGCAGAAAAGAAGATGTGTATTAGTGGACTGACTCGATTCTTTTTATTGCAGGTTTGAGTCGTCCTCCCATGCTATTAGCATGAGCGCCTACTTGCGCGAGCAGAGACGGGAGCTCTACAGCAGGAGCGGAGAACTTCAAGGTGGGCAGCTGGATCGCTCATTCGCTTGGTTGATTCCTTTTGCCAAGAATCTACAGGCCTTGCCTACGCTGGCCTCAGAAATTGGTAGCATCTGTTGAGCTAACCATGTGTAGGGCCGTAGTTCAGGACTCTGCAAACCTGGTCAGCTCGTAATCTTTTATTCACTCGAAGTAGGTGGGGAAAACTTGTGCATTTCTATCCCCCCACCTCATAGTATATGCTAAAGGTCTGAGTTCGAAAAGGACACTATTCAAACAATAATTGAAATGGAGAAGAATCTTAATATAAATAACACATTTGACAGCTTGATGTTTGTTTCCTTACCTGAAATTCATTTTCATACAGTTTGTGGTAAATGTTATGTTAGATTATTCCCATGGACTGAAGCTTAGGACCTTTTTGTGTCTGAAAGCCTGAGTCTGCTTTGAGCTAAAGAACCAGCTGTGTTGGCAATGAGGAGCACACACTACTTTACATGGCTCAGCTGCTAGAAGGAGGAAGGTTTCTGTCGCCCTGTTAAATGTGCACGCTTTTTTTAAACGACGGATTTGGAGAGCTGCGATATTCTTATTGGCTTGTGTTGTTTGCGCAAAATGGTTTGTGCATACTGTTGTACAAATAGGTATAGAGGTGTCTCTCCAACGAACACGGCACAACTGCAAGCTTCTTCCCATCAGCCGTATCCTACAAGGGAGATCTTGTTTTGCAAGAATCAGAATGGGTGAGATATTAGAGAAGATCTTCACAAAAATATCTACAAAAATCCAAGTTGGTTTGGCTCTGTATAACTGATCCAGTTTCTTATACTGCATTTGTCATCATGTAATGAGTGCGATATGAAACCTCTGTTTAAAGCCATTGCTGCCCAAACGTTATGGGCAGAGACCGAGTTTTAGCCTGGAATGCGGTTGGTTCCGTATAAACCCATAAGAGAGATATTTGATATTGGTAGTTGTCCCTCATCGTGATTTGGTAGCTCATCAGAAAAAGGGAGAGGTGAAGATACTCTTTTTGAGGTGCCTTATCACAGTCAAGGCACACTTAGGAGGAATCCAGCCAAACAGCCCTTCACCTTGCAGGCTAAAGTTGTGAGTGGTAGAAATATGTCACGTGCACTTGCTTATGGTGACAGACATGATGACGTCTCTGTGTGCAAATGGCTGTATGAAATCCCATTAGAGAACAGGATGAGTAAAACACTCCCGTACTAAGCGGAGGTGATCAGATACCATGCAGAAGGGAACTGCAAAAGTGTTTTCCTGTTGCAATTACACAGTTCTGCTCTCAAATTTAGCAAAATCCTTGCCTTTCTAATGTAACATTTTCCATTCTTAATTCAGTTGAGTTGTCCAGTGCAGTACAACAGTCTTCAAAGTACTACGTAGCATGTCCCTTGCCTTTCATTTACCAATACAAACAGCTGCATCCCACTGTTGAGATGGAGTAACAAGTCCCATCTCTAGGAACCCAGGAGCTCCTGAGAGAAGTTACCACCTTCCAGCAGGCAAGAGCCCTCCACCCACGACAGTCTTCCAGGGGTCTAGGTCTAGCGAGTGTTATTCCAACTCCTGTCTTCAAGGAGAATCAGTCTGTTGCTTCACGAATAGGCTGATTTTCAATTAATCTTATATGGACTAAAAACACATTAGAAAACAGGAGTATTAACCTATCCCACCTGCTTGTCTTTGGACCCAGGTGCTGGGATGAATCATGGAAGTGTTGGGGTTTTTTCATGACGCAATTATGCCAATATTACTGTGAGAGCTATTTTTGCATGGAGCTGTTCCTTTATGGCATGCACTTTTCCAACCTGAAAGCTTGCTAAGAACTTTTTTCCAATTACTCTAATAAAAAAAATCTCACATCTACTCAGAACCTTGCCTGCCGATGTCCTTGGACCAACACGGCTACAATCAAAAACCCAGCTTTTCCAACCTGCATGAGAAATGTTGCTCTGAATAGCTAACTACTTTAAGTCCTTATCCTGTAAGGAGTCCTCGAAGGAGGACAAGCTTGGGGACAACACTTTTAAGAGAAATGTGGGGAGGAGGATTTCTGAAAGGAAGTGTGTTCTAGGGAAACATCAGTAGGGCAGAAGAGGGCATTTGATAGATAATCATGGAGACTGCCCTAAGTATAGTGCTAGAGAAGATGGGAAGGAGAAAGCACAAGGATTGACCTAAGATGGGGGTGGAAGTGTGTGGGCCTTATAGATCCATAACTAAATCTATGCTTGGGTTCAACATTCCCAAATGTGACTGGGGATGAGTATTAAGACCTTGAATATGATGCAAGAGGACATGAGAAGTTTGAATGGAGGGGCTCAGGAAGGATGGAGACAGGCGAATTTTGCAAGAAACATTTGCTATTTAGTCACAGAGAAAAGTTTTCCCTCTTAACTCTTTATGATAAAAATGTTAAAGCCTCTCTCTTTCCATTATAAACTGCTGTTCGCTTTCAACTAGTCCATTTATCTACTTGAGCCCTGGGCCACAGCAAGATCTGCATTTCAATTTTAACTTTTTAAAAATAATTGAATTGTTCAGTCAGGTTGGGGCAAGGCTGGCATGTGGCCATCTTTCCTCTGAAGACCACACTCCTGCAAGTTGCTCTTCTCGATAGTCTTATCCACAGACTGTGGCCTTAGGGAGGAAAGGTGCAATGTTGAGGTAGGAGCAGAAATCTGCCAAAAGTATCTTCAAAGTATCAGTCTCTGTACAACACCCCCTAGATATTCAATTCATGGCAAATTCTTGAAATGGGAATTTAATTTAAATTGCCTTATAATGCACAAGGAGAAGGATGACACCTTGTCTTTAACCTTTTCCCTGTGGCCTGAAATATATGATCACCCACTGTTGTCAGAGCCTCTGTTGCACATGCGTTAGGGTTGGAAGCATGCATGTTTTAAGGTTTGATCCTTTTGAAATCAATCAGTGGTAGACGAACCAGGCCCTGGATTTCTTTGCTTTTGTTTAAGCCGTGTCAAGTTATTTGGAAGAATTCTGTCATTTTAAAACACCCTGAAGTTTAGAAAATAGATTTCCTGCCTTTGAGCTTGTACAGCCTGGTGGCAAGGGTGTGATCGTGTTGGATATTGTTTTTGCATATGTTCTACAACTAAACTAATCATTTATGTTCATTAAAATTCCCATAATGCTTTTCTTTTTTTCTTCTCTTTGCAAGAGTGGGCTTGTTATCCTAGTTTCTTGGTCAGATTCCAGTTGTGAAAATTACATTTAAGAACTGCTCACACTTTTTCCTTTGGATAGCGTTCCTTTTATCAGCCTTAAATCGATTGCATCTTGCTGTGCATTGTCAAAGCTGTCGCAGTCCATTTCAGGGGCGCCTGCTCGGTAGTTGCGGTGCATGAACATTATGTCCCCAGTCTGTTTCATTTCGTAGCCTTCATAGACATCAGGGCTGGGAGGGACCTCGTGAGATCATCGGGTCCAGCCCCCTGCCCGAGGGGCAGGAAGTCAGCTGAGATCAGATGATCCCAGCTAGATAAGCATCCAGGCGTTTCTTAAGGATATCCAGAGTAGCTGCTTGCACCACTTTTGGGGGAATTCTGTTCCAGACTCTGGAGACTCAGACGGTAAAGAAGTTTTTCCTTATGTCCAGTCTAAAACGGTCTTCCAGCAGTTTGCAGCCGTTAGACCTTGTCGAAGAGTCCCATGCCTCTCAGCCTCTTCTCATAAGGCCTGCTCTCTTGACCTCTAATCACATGCATGGCTCTCCTCTGGACTCTCTCAAGCTTCTCCACATCCTTTCTAAAGTGTGGAGCCCAGAATCAGACGCAGTACTCCAGCTGCGGTCTCACCAAGGCAGGGTAAAGCGGGAGGATGACTTCTAGGGTCTTGCTTGAGATGGATCGGTAGATGCAAGCCAGAGTTTTATTTGCTTTTCCGGCTGCGGCATCACAGCATCACATTTTGTTTACACGGTGCTTTGGAAATGGAGTTTCTAGGGATAAAAATGTTCTTAGGCCAGTCCGGTAGGGGAGAGAGCGTCTTTTCAGTTGCTTTGAAATCCTGGCTCTTATTGTACTGGGTGAGTTTAGGATGTGGAAGATGCAGGGTTTTTGGTTGTAGCCATGTTGGTCTACGGACATAGACAGGCAAGGTTCTTTGGGCAGATGTGATCTTTAATTAAACCAACTGAGTAGTTAGAGCGAAGTTCTTTGCAAGCTTTTGGGCAGTTGTTCCCTTCTTTAGGCCTTTACCAGGATGTGGAAGGATGTTGCATTTTTCCTTGTATTCCTTTTTTTTAATTTTTACTTGATCCCCATCCTAGAAAAAAATCATGACACATCTACTCGTTTTTACAGTAATGCCTAAAACGGCAGTTTTCAACGTGTGGTCCGCAGCTCCCTGGGGGTCTGCAGGCTACATCTAAGGGGTCCATGAAAAATGATCACGATCAGTCAAAAGTATATGACTACACACACTTACAATTCAAAGGGTCCACACCTCCATTTGTAATTTTAAAGGTCCACAGATGAAAAAAAGGCTGAAAACCACTGGCCTAAAACCCCAACCCAGATCTGGAGTCCTTGGTGCGGTAAATGCACGTAGTCCACAAATTCTTGCTCTTGGTATTCATGTGGCTCCTAGCACAGCTATACAGTGTGGAAGGTACATGGCTGCATTTTGTATGTGTTTTATGCCAGGATTGAAGGGAAGCAGCAAAGAGGAGCAGGATTTTGGAGACAACTTGAAGTTACTAAAAAAAAAAAAAAAAAAAATCAGGAAAAAGAGAGCGCCAAAAATTAAAGCACAGTTGGTTACTTCTTTGTTGCCTTCTCTTAAGCAAGTCGTGTAACGGGAGCTAATTATCTTGCATACCAGTGGGTCATTCCTGTGTGTGCAGGATTCAGAGCACCTGAAGTCGGAAATTACTCTGGGCATAAAACATCTTGCCAGCAGACGCCTAGCACAGTGATGCTTGGTTGCTGATAATTTCTAGCCCGGCATCATTTTGTCAAAGATGCTGTTGGT